AAATCTTGTATAAGTTCAACTGAAGCTAGACAAGTTAGTTAAAATTTAAGCCACGTCTTTTTCAAAATGTTACTAGTACTGAAGAGTTGCTTCGCTAGCATTTGAATGGTTTCAAGTTTGACTACTAACTGACTTCATTTAGAGAACTACTGATAATCAGAGACTACTGGATAGCTGTTCCATCTCAACACGTAAAGCTTCAGCAGTATGTACTATCGAGGATCGAGTCACGATCTTTAGGTTACGAGGTATGTCTTTTGATCATTCATATAGTGTTTCAAGTGAGTCTTATCTGGCCAACAAATAATTGCTCTGTGTGTTCAACAGTTAGGTATCCACTACTTTAAGCTGTCTTCTTGCTTACACGTTGCTTTTACTATTTTACACTAATTTTGACATAAGAAGCAAAATGTAGATGGGTATTCCTGCCACCTGCCACTGTAAAAGAATATTACAGAAAGGATCTGTATGGTGCAGTGGTTGCATTAACTACATGCTTGTAAAGAAACTTTGTCATCCCTTTACAGATTTATTAATTCCCATTGTTTAATTTTCGGTGCTTTTACTGAAACATCCCTAATTTTGGTGTAATAGGAGGATGGATATATAGCATACTACAATTCAGGGAATGATATTGGGATATTTCCTCAGTACATAAACTTACGTATTGAAAGTCGCTTCAAACTGAGTTTCATGGCGGACACACTTCACTTAGAGTACTTTTTGGAAACCAGGGATCACACGACAGTTGTTTCGTCCCGGTTTTGAACACTCTTAGCGCAGCAAAAAGCCCAGAATCTTCAGATTAGCAGGCGATCATGTTTCCCTTTAGCTAATGAATCCAATTACTCACGAATTTTAACACCTTTCAACTTGTAACATGCGACAGGATAACACCGGGAAACGACAACATTTAACCCATAGAACAATAAGATCATAGTTCACACAGACATTTAATATCTTTGAATAAATTTGCGATACCCTTTTGAGAAAGTTAACTTGATATATACGTTCCAAGCAATCAGGTTTGATTCTTATTAGGAATGTCAGTGAGGGTAGCGAATAAATGAATATATAAATAAATAAATAAATTTTGTGCTCGAGAACACCTACCAGTGTGGCTAAATGAAGCGTAGTTAAAACTATTAACAGTTCAATATTGCATCATCTGGTCCAAATAGGCCACAAATCCAGCACTGAAGAAACCTTTTTGTCAACTGTCGGGTATTGAATCAAAATCCTCTAGACACCGAATCCTTCAGATAGCAGAAGACATGACAATTCACTTAGAACAGCCTGAATCCTGTGCGTAAAAGTAAACAAGTTCACAGGATTTCACCATGAGCTGACATTAGTTAGAGAACCATTGGAAAACCTGGGAGTACTGGACAGATGTTTCGTCCTAGTTGGGACTCTTCATCAGTACGCACCCACTAGGATTCGAACCTTGGACCTTCCGGTTACAAGGCAAGCTCGTATACCATTAAGCCACTGGGACCCGATCCAGTGGCCAGCCCATGAATTCTAACTTCTGCCAATCCACGACATACCGCGACCCCTAGCAAACAAGTTCAGCCACTACTGCTACCCTGGGTTGCTGTGGGATCTATTAATTCATGAATGCCCTATGCTCCAATCTTACACATCGGCTTTCATCAACCTGCGTAATTTCGTTTCTAAATTTTTTTTCAAAAGAATGGATACTGAACAAAAAGGTACTGTTTTCGATAACCCTTTCATCAGCAAGCTCTACAGTTATACATAAATTATAGTGAACGAATGAATTAGTGTTATGAACAGCATTATTGTTGTTTAAATAACATCTAATCACTAATATTGATAGATAGCTACTGAATAGCATCAACATGGTCTGCGTCGGTGGTACAGTGGTTAGGACTCTTGTCGACCATACACATGGTCCGAGGTTCTATCTCCTGCCGACGCACACCTGATATCTATGGTCGGCCTGTAAAATTTGAGCTACCGATGTCACATGCTGAAAATTCCATACTTGTACCAAAAATTCGGTGCGGAATCAAGCTATGATCGAAAAAATAAGCTGAATGTCAGAAAACTTAGGAAAGATAATATTATATATTCATGAATTTAAAGTCTCTACTGAAGGCCAAGGCAGTAGTAGGGGCTGGACTTGTTTCTTTTGAACACAGAGCATTGATTGTTTGAGGCGAATGTTATTTGTATGCTTTGAATTTTCTGTAGCAACTGAACTGATTTTCCAGAGTAAGGTTGCTAGACGTCTGATCAAGCTTCCCTTTTTTCCAGGCTGAGGACCAGTTAGTGAACTAGATGAGGGTATGAATAAGCATTAAATGGGTGAGAATTATAACACGACATAACACAGTGGATTCATCTAGTTTTTATTTTTGGTTCATAATTATCTTCAACTAAAACATATTGCACAGTATTTAATTCCATACACTACCGTGTACACTAAGCGTACTAAGAAAACGATTATGGTTGATGATGCAACACGCCTCATCTCCCTTTTTTGGAAATATCCCTTTAATTCCAATTACATTTTATATTTTCCAGCCTGAGGTTTTCATTTTGATCTGTTGTAGGCAGAAATGGAACAAACTGTTCTAGGCATGATGGAGACGATTTGTAGCTGAGGCGGATGATTTTGATGTAATTTCGTTCTCTGAGCTGGATGGTTTATATTTGCGAAGCTATCATTGCCCTACTAGGCAACATCTTCAGAGAATACTTCAATTTAAAGTGAGCTTTTAGATTTCTCCACGAGTTTATAAGTCATCTCTCCTCGTGAGTGACCTTGGACGCGATTGGTTGCTTTAGTGTATTTTAACACCCTCTAGACTAATTGTGTTGGTACTGATTGTTTCCTAGACCTGAACTTTGACATTTTGTGTGCAAGATTTCCTTCTTTTCGATTGGTAAATTTTGTCCATGTCGATGTGTCTATTGATCGACGATTTACTGGGATACAAGAAAGGCTTCTAAAACATCTATGGCATTCTTGGTGTCTCCTCTGTCTAATATTTGAATGTTGCTCCAGACAAATTGATATCCATGGTTGTCTGTATGCAGCGATATGAGGGTATAAGAGTGTAATTCCATTATGGGTAAATTTTGTTTTGATAAAGTCTAACACAGTTATACAGTAATGTTGACTGATGACGTATCGAGCACAATTTACTGCCACTCATAATCATATCAAGGTAATCACACGACTTATATAGTTCCATTATTTTTCACTTGATTTGATTGGTAGTAGTATTTTCCATATTTCAGGAATGAGTGATGAATCATTTCTATTGCATGCGTTGAACGTAGACTCGATGAACAATGATTCAGTAATCAACCTCTCTCTCTACCTACCTAGATTATTATTATTATTGTTCACTTCGGTTCCTAGTGGTATTCAAATGCACGTCTCCACTTGCTTCTGTCTTTCGCTGTACTTTTCACCTGAATCCATGTTATTCCATACTCTTTCAGCTCCTCTTCACACGATTTCCTCCATGTCACCCTTGGACGTCCCACTTGGCGCTTCCTTTTCGGGTTACACTCGAGCGATGGCCTGAAGCGCGATGTCACCAGCTGGCCTTCTCAGCGAGTGTCCAATCCATCTACACTTTCTCCTGCATATTTGTTGGGCGATCGGTTCTTGTTTTGTTTGTTCCCATAATTTTGTTGGTTGTTGGTGATTCTTTCTGGCTGGTCATCTGATCTTCAGTATAGAGCGAAGACATTTATTGATAAAGGTCTGCAACCTGTAGGAAATATTCTTTGTGACCCGCCCGCCAAGTTTCTGATCCGTATAGAAAACCTACCTAGATTACGTTTTAGAATTTTAATACTCTCTCACCAACCCTATTGTGTGGTTGTCTGTTAATGCATGCATTGCAACTGCTGGGCTTTTTTTATTTACTTGTCTTCTCGGGGTCAACCATTCTTACCTCAGCCTCTAAATTCTTATGTTCTGACAATCTGACTACCCCTGACCTACTAGAGTGACCTATGAAGTTGACCTCAAAGTAATTGCAGGGTATTTTGTAAATTATATTATTTTGTCTAATTTGGTCAACTGGAGGCTTTAACTTACAGAGCCTGTCCTTGAGTGAGTTTGTAGGTTTAAATGCCACCCTCATTCCTGCTTTATTTAGAATCCTACGTAGGGTCTCAGATGTCTCCTCTTTATATTATATAACTTTAGATGACTTATATTCTCTCTTATTTATGTTATTATTAGTAGCTTCACAATTATTTTTGTTTTTCTTATGGCCTTTTTCAATCTTGCTAAAGAATTTTAAAGGATAGTTATTTAACACCAAGGCCTCTTCTGCCTGTTTTAGTTCATCATTTAGGTGTTTCTTGTGCTACTTTGTGCCATTGCTTGGTTTGTTAAACACTTAACTAAGCCTGCCTTAACAGTTAACGGTGTGAGGGAGTAGATGTCATGTCTTTTGACGATTAGTTGGTGTTCACGGATACTTATCCATCATCAACTCGACTGGGACAACTTTTAAATATTAGATAGAGGAAACACCGAGAAGGCTAGAGAATTCTTAGAAGCCTGCCTGTATTCCAGGGAATCGGCATGTAATAGGCAAATTGACATAGATAAAATATACCGATCCATAAGAGGGGAATCTCATGCAAAAAATGTAAAACTTTAGGTCAAGGAAACAATTAATACCAACACAATTAGTCTAGAGGGTGTGAAAACACACGAAAACAACCAATCGCGCTGAATTTCACTCACGAGGAGAGATGACTAATAAACTCGTGGAGAAATCTAAAAGCTCACTTCAAATTGAAGAATCCTCTGAAGATGTTGCCTAGTAGGTCAATGATGGCTTCGCAAATATAAACCATCCAGCTCAGAGAACACCATCAAATCGAAAACAGAGTGTTCTTTTATGTGTTGTTTTTAATGAGAACTTTTGAGGCTTTTGAAGTCTATTTTGGATCCGTAATTTCTGTATTATTCTTTTTCTGATTATTGCATCCCATAGGTGTTTGCAATAGTCTCCATATTCTTCATCCTGCTGTCGACGATTGGTTTGACGTTGAACACAATACCAGAAATGCAGATGAATACAACAGAAAAGCACACTGAGAATGAAACATTCCACAAGACTAATCACTCAACCATAAAAGATGAACATTCAACCAGTGAATTAAAAGACAACCTATATTTGGATATTGTTGAAACTATTTGTATTTCATGGTTCACATTGGAGTATTTACTACGCTTATGGTGTTCACCGGATAAGCTAAAATTTCTTAAGCGTATACTAAACATTATCGATTTGATAGCTATTCTCCCCTTTTACATACACGTCCTACTCATTGAAGTTGTTACCCGACATCATAATGAATCATTGCATTCGCTGAGAAAGATTGTACAGATATTTCGTATACTGCGTATTCTACGAATATTTAAACTTGCTCGACATTCAACTGGCTTACAAGCACTCGGTTATACATTCAAACGTTCTTATAAAGAATTAGGTCTCCTGATGCTGCTTATCGCTTTAGGCGTAGTCTTATTCTCAAGTTTAGTGTATTTCGCAGAAAAAGACGATAATGCTGAAATGTTTCGTAGTATACCAGCAGCTTTTTGGTGGGCGACAATTACAATGACCACAGTGGGTTATGGAGATATGCTGCCGAGAACAGTGTTAGGCAAACTGATTGGTGCTTGCTGTTGTATTTGTGGTGTACTTGTTGTTGCCCTGCCTATTCCGATAATTGTGAACAATTTTGCTGATTTTTATAAGGAACATGTTAGACGTGAAAAAGTTTTAAAGCGTATAGATGAAATGGAACGATTACATCATTCACAAGATTTGTTTATCAGTCGTACTGGTGATGTAAATGTCTTTTTCGATTCTATAAATCAGGATCATGATGATAGCAAAACTATTCTGATGAATAAAATTATATGAGAAGGAAAACTTGTTCAAAAATGCAGTGTAATTAGTAATTTATAACCGTTTAGGAAACGATTCACCTGAATACACAACATTTATATATATTCATATATGTTCCGGTAGCTAAACCATGAACAAATTACTAAAGACAAACTGAACATAACCCAAAAGTACCATGCAGAGATACTCAATTAGCACACATCTCCCTCCTCCTCACTCTCAGTGAAACAGATATTCAAAAACTGACATTTCTAACAAATGACCTACAATATACCTTCAAACAGAACAGTACTATGTAAATCATTGAAATCCTTCTTGTGGACACAGCTACACTCGATCACTATTTCGACTGATGATAATACTGCTAATAATACTACTTACTACCACTACTACTACTACTAAATAATAATAATAAAGAGTTCTTTAGGTGATTTATAATTTTATTTGTGCGTGTCTGCATTTATGTGGTTGTATTTATGCCTCACCAACTATCTAGATTATAAACATTACCCTTGTGATTATTATTATTCTTTTTATTAGAAATTCTCAGAGATCTATAATTTTACTTAATGTATTTTTAGCTTATTATAAACTATTTACCTTTGTAGTGTACTGTATTTAACTACACCAATGAATATATACATGCATATGAATATACGTCGTTTTTCAATTCAGATGGAAACATTAGTTCAGATGAATAATTAATTAAAAAGAAAAGACAGAGAAGATTTAACGAAAATTGCGTGTTTCGTTTTCTTTTTTCAATCACACTTGTTCATCTTTTCGGCCTCAACCTTCTTGGTCATGAATGCTCATTGATTTTTTGTCTTGTGAAGAGAAGTCAGGGTTAATGTTTATTTGGTGGATGATATTGTGTAGATGCATTAGCCTACTTGTAATTCTCCTTGACTATAACTAGCAGTTAGTCGGGATGCATTGAACCCTCTTGATTGATCGATTGATTATTATTATTATATCTTTTAATTCCTAGAGGAACATAGGGCTTCAGCTGCGCGTCTCCATTGCCTTCGGTTTTCCGCCAACTTTCTCACCCCACTCCAAGTCTGCCCACATACTTTCATCTCCTCTTTATATGACCTCCTCCAAGTCAATCTCACACTGACGACCAACTCGCCACTCTGGATTCTCGCTTACAGGCAGTCTGTTCTGCTTCATTGAGGTTCCTGATTTGAATTACTCGACGTGTGACGTCATCATCATGGGGATGCTGAATCAGATCTATATAGGCTTGAGGCACTGTTCTTCGTAGTACTGAAGCAATTTCCACACTGCTTCGTGATCGGCGCTTTTCAAAGCGTTTCCAATGTTTATGAAGTTTCGTAATTGTGTTGAATAGCATGCATCAGGGATAGAAAAGGTCTGTGTGTAATTTCCCAACTTACGTGTCAATTCTCAGGTAGGTGTCGCATCCGGTTGGCAATTCAAGGATGTGAGTATCGCGCATCATTTTGCTCAGTTCTTCTTCCCATCTGTGTGACATGAACATTGGAGACAGAGAACCTGAAAGGAAACTTGCTGGCTGTCTTCCAACACAGATGTTTGCATCTGTATTCACTGTTTTCTGCAAAACAAGATATTAGCTAAATGAGATGAGTTTTCATGTACACAGTTACTGATATTACTAGAAACGTAAGAGAGCCTAAATTACCATGATGGAGTTATGCAGTGAGATATATGCCTCAATGATTCAGCTTTGGACAGGATGTACAGAGAAACGAATGAGATTTGACGTAACGCGAGTGTAAAGTAATTGGAGAGTTAGGCAGAATTTAAAAAAAAGTTAAAAAGTGGGCTGAAAGAGGCTAAAATCTATGAGATTTCGTCTTATTCACTTTGTTGTAGCTCTCGCAATCCAGATAGAGAAACTGGAAAGAAGATCCAAATATTTCTGCCGTCTTCATAGTGACCTCGTTGTTTTCAACTCTTTCATTTTCTTGAAGTTATATTTGATACCAAATCACATTCTGTTCATCTTGATAAAAAGTTAGTATTTAAATAATTTTTCACATTGCATAACTATGTCATCCTTATTAAACTTCTTTTATGTATTGATTACTATTATGAACTGTACATATGACAATTCATCTTTCTTGTTACTATTGTCTTTTGTGAAAAACAGTTGTACGGTAATTTATTCAAAACTTTAGTATGAAAAACCTCAAGAAATGACAAATTACACGGGAAAGAAGAAGAATTGAAAATATCTCAGTAGAATATAATAAAAATGCCTTCAGGTGCAGATGAGTACAGTGGAGAGTAAGACACTGGAGAATACTTTCATAAATCATATTCCATATCGGAAACTATTATAGTTTAAAGTTCTTATGTCTGTGATTATAATCACAGTGAAAGAGACAAGACAAATGTCATATATGCAATAGCTCGTAGAATGTCACATCTTTGAAAACGATATAAAGTTACTAGGATTAGTAGAATCAGCAAGCGAATACGTAGTGAGCAGTTTGATGAGATAGAATTGAACATTTCAAAGATTATATTGATTCGAAGTAGTGAATTGGCGAGGTGAAATAATACTGAGAACTTTTCAAAGTGAACAAGAGCAGTGAACTGATAAATGCACATGGAGGCGGCAAATAACATCTTACTGATTGGCATAGAATGATGAATTTTTTTAGCAAGATATGAGGCCATTTTAAAATCTGTGAAGATTATTTGCTTTGGATCTCAGTTAGTGATTAGTGTGTATGGTTCATCTTTAATAATACCTCAAGACATTGTTTTCAGTATTCGTGGAAAGATAGTTCCATGTGGACACATTCAGAACTACAAACATATCCTTTATTATATGGCAGAGAGAATGAATCTAATGTCTTTTCCTGCAGACAGGGACCTTGAAACAGAAATCAGATAGTTATCCATTCCGGTGGTCATAGTTACAACGGTAGATTGAAAGTAAACACAATTTCTCTTTGTGTATATATAGTGAGTTAATTGTGTTGTATGGACTTATTTTATTCTGAATTTATATCTACCTGGTGCAGTATGGACCTAATTTTTTCTACAGTTTTACATTTATCCTTAAAGTACAATACTGTTTGTTTTTTTGTCCACATGTGACACAGGAACCTGGTTGTTTATTGACTGTTTTAACATACCAAACTAATTAATGTCTGTCAAGGCCATTGTAGCCGACCATACGCACATTTGCTGTCAACCATTTTAGTTGTTGATTCGAGGCAGTATAAGCTGTCTATGTCAACAGTCTGCCTTTTTGCTCTACGGATTCAGTGGAATCGTGTTGTATCGTTGCTGTTGCTAAAACTGATCAAACTAGTAGTAGGCTCGCAAGTCGACTGGGTAAGAAGTTCGTTAGAGTAAACTACAAGGTGTTTTAACAGTCATTTCAACTAGAATGTGCTAAACTATCTGAAAATGACTTAAACTTGCCTGAAGCCATCAGAACAAAATTAGAATATTGAGGCGAAGTAGAAGAATATTTGTTATAATCGACTGAATAATCACTGAAGCTTGAATGTCTGTATTTAGTTAAATGAGTAATTATCTTAGCCAGGTCTTACAAGGTTGGTAATTTTCAATTATGTATAACGTATTTTTGCATGATCTGGACGACTGCTGTCATCAGCTTGTGCCAGTCTGTCTTCTCTCTCTCTATATTCACATGGACTTTTGAGGATTAAAAGTGATTGGGAATGAGTAATTTGAAATTTGGTCCTCACTTGAGTTATTAACCATTCTGCGGTATCCATCCCTAATCGTAGAATTGGTTTTGATGATGATTATGTCAACTGCTATGAAGTTTCGGAGAAGTTGTCCAACACAAAGTACAGTACCCTTATCCATGGTATCATAAGACCCTATTAGTACAACACCGTGCAACCGAAAGAATCCTTGTATTTAAGTGTTGGTTAGTAGAGTTTGATTGATTGGTTACAGGATTTCATCATGCGCTGACATCAATCAGAGAACCATTGGAAAACCTGCAGGGAGTACTGGACAGTCAGCTCTTTTGTAAGTCTAGTTTGGAACTACTCAAGAGTATGCATACATCCAAAATGTTTGAACCGAAGACCTTCTGGTTACAAGGAGAGCTAGTAGACCATTTAATCACTGGGACCCGTTCCAATGGCGAGCCCATGAATTCCAACTTCTGTCAATTCACAACAAAGCGCAACCACTAGCCAATGTCTACGGCGAGTATGTTTACTCAAAATCTGACTTACTGTGCCCTAATGGTTACGACTTCTCACTAGAATAACCTGCCTGAATAGGACCAGTCGCCAGTGAACATCTCATTGATATTCAAGTATTGGTTTGTCGCAGTTGGGCTATATCGTGAATTGGGTAGAATTTGAATTCCTTGGCCAATGGGTCGGGTCTCAGTGGAATAATGGTCTACAAGCTGGCTAGCCTTGTAGCCAGAAGGTCATAGATTCGAACCCTGGTGGTTGGCGCGTACTGATGAAGAGTTCAAAATTAGTCTGATGAAAGAGCTGTGCAGTACACGCAGGTTTTCCAGTGGTCCTCAAACCGATTTCAACTCATGATGAAATCCTGTAACCAATCCTTGTATTTGTTTGTCTGCTGAAGTCGACTAGATTAACGTCCATTAGAAAGATTACTGGATAAATCGCATTTGATTACTGATATATGGACAATATACCCATCCGTTTCGAGAGCGAATGCAATCAGCTGTCAATATTACTGAAATGCGGTGAGAGATATCCACACATCAAATTCATCACATGAGAAGTACACTCGTAAGGGGAACATCAATGCTAAATATGGCTGTTACAAGAAGGTCAGATATTCATGTGATTAAACTACATGGACAAAACAATATTCACATCACTAAATAGGTGAATAAGCATATATCTTGAAGACTTCGAAGATGATATGGATTCTGTTAAGTTATTCAGTGCTACCAGCAGGAAGACGACCAGAAGGATAATTGCAACTGCAGACGCTTGTACAATTGGAGTATGTCACTTTGTCACCTGTGTACAGCAGGCAAT